TCACCCAAATATACGTGGATGATCCCTCCACCTATCCTTTAGTTGATAAAGAGTTGTGGGAGCAGGTAGTTGGGGGAAGCAAAAAAAGGCCATCTATTTGGGTTTGGGTACAACCAGGATCCCAATTGGGTCTTGACTGGGAACTACACACAAGGTGGTCCATTGTCTTCAGAGAGTCGGGTATGTGTCTCTTTTCCTTTGATGATGTTTATCGATTTAGTTTGCATGAAGAAAATCAGCACCAACGAACGGAGGAGTAGGAACGACGGCGAGCGGAGACGAGCGATGGCGGGCGGAGGACGAGCAACGACGGGCGTAGGACGAGCAACGGCGGGAGAAGGAGGAGCAACATGATAAACAACTTCAAGATATGGATGCTTTGGTCAGATAGCTCAGTCAATCTCAACATTTTCCCCCACCATATAATTCAATATCGTCAGTTTGTTTGGAACAATTTAGTTTTTGTTTGGAACAACTATTACTACTTTAAATTGGTCGGGATAATTATTGTCTGCATTTCATCTTTTTAGCTTTTTTTTAAATATTTTACAGATCTACAGGTTTAAATACAGGTTTTAAATATTTATTGAAAAAATATTTTAAAATTGATAATTTTATAAATTTCCGGTGGATTACCGACGGATATATCCGTCGGAAATGATTAAAATATTGAAAGAATAAAAATAATTTTCTTAAAAATAAAATAAATTTCCAGCGGATTTCCGGCGGATGTATCCGCTGGAAATATTTAAAGAATAAATAATTATTTTAAAAATATAATCAATTTTCCGACGGATTTCCGGCGAATATTTCCGCTGGTAATTTAATCCAATTTTTTTTATTTATAAAAAAACTCGAATATTTTTTTAATTTAATCAAGAATTTTTAGATAAACCGGGATAAATTTTCCGACGGCCCGTTTAATTTAGATTAAATTTTAGATATTTCATTAATTGGTGTGGATTTAACATTTGTAACTTTCAAGGAAACCAAATAGCTATATATTAAATAATAATGTAATATGTGATTAAAAATATAAGACATTTATTTACTGAGGACCAAAATTGGAATAAAACTTAGGGCCGTTTACCAAATACTTACCCAGGTAAGTGTTTATCAAGTCATATTACTTCATCAGATGAATATGGTAAGGACTAAGAATATTACCCGGTAAGAGCGAGACAAGAACCATAAGTCTTACCCGGCAAGTGAGAGCGACGACTCTTACCACGGTAAGCGCTTACCGGATGAATTGTTGCATACAATGTCGTTTTGATAAACTAAAATCTTACCCGATAAGTAAATAATAATGTTAATTTTTACCGGTAAACACTTAACGGATAAATGTTTGATAAACGGACCCTTAGTTTTAGAATGTTTTTGTATGATATTTTTAATAAGTGTTATGGATAAATATCAATAATATGATTTATCTATTAAGTTTTATTAGTTTATTCAACTTCATCCTAACAATTTGATTACTTTTTAACACGTGTTATGGGCTTACAAAACAAGGAATGAATGAAGATGGGCTCACAAAACAAGGCTATTGACATTTTATGAAATGGGCTGAAAAGGGCCCACTTGTGTGGCCCATTAACAAAAACTCCCAAATAAGCATTTTATCATTTATTTTTTGTTAGAAAATAATTAAAATATAAAATATATTTTTGCACCAAAAAAGGTATTTAAAATGCATTAAAAAAACCCTTGTCCATGGTCAATGTTACGTTTTCGTGTTTTGAGCAACATACGATAAGAACAGGGGGATTAGACGAGACAAAATATATTCTTTTTGTTCTATCAAAATAGGTGAAACAAAAATCACAAAGATGAAATAAAACTAAAAAAACTTACCAACATGTCCTCGTTTGATGTCTAAAAATATGGTATTTGATTTAATGGGTATCATTGCCATCACCACCGGCCATTACCGACTATCTCCACCACAATTACCGCCCCACTACTATCAACAACCACTATCTCTGTCTCCATAGCCACCACCTCCGTAACTATCGGCCGCCGCCATCATCGTCCACCATCTCTACGTCCTCCGCCGCTACCACCCTGATGTACCAAATCATAAGAGAAGAAGATATGAAGATGAACAACAACAAATTCAGTTAAAAAAACACATAATCAACTCTACAAGCTTCCTTCGGTTTCTGTTTTCTCGGCTCCAAACTCATACACATAAACTTATTTGCGTTTTACCTTAAGACCACCATCCCATTGAGATAATATAATTATCTCATATAATATTAAGCATAATAACAAGAGGCGGTGGAGTTTTTATTACCACCATTTTTCAAAAACAATCCTGAACTTTATAACCGAATATCCGGTTATCACATATCTCATCGTCATGTACCCCCCCCCCCCCCCCATGGAATATTTCACGTCCAAAATAAAATTACGACATATTAAACTCAACATTTAATTATATATGATTCTCGTTTTAAAAACGTTCGATCCCACAATTATCTAATCACGACTTCCGAAATAAGTTATTAAATTATTTCTTATGATTTAAATGTGGAAACCCAATTAATTAATACCCTTTATAATTTGATGTCCACATTTTGACCAACTTAATTGAAACTAAGGATGGTGATTTGCCTCGATCTAGTGGGCAACCCGACTCACCCGACCCGAACGGGGACGGGGATTCCCTACTAAAACGGGTCCTGGGGTCGGGGGCTGTTACTCAAACCAGGGTTGGGGTATGGGATCCCAAGTAGACTCAAACTAGGATATTTTTCATGGGGTTTGACCGAAGTTTGACAGGGGTTTGATTGAGAACGGGATGTTAATCCCCGTACCTGTGGGGGACCGGGCCGAGGGCTGTTACTAAAAACCGGGGCCGGGAATTATAAAACCGCCCCATCCCCGCCCTATTGCCATGCCTAATCGAAACATCCCGATTTATCTCAATTAATCCAAGTAAATAAATGAGCCTCAAATCTATTTTTTTTTAATAAATATTGATTTTATCAAAATGACTCGAGTTTAACTGAATTTGACCGAGACAAGTCGGCCTCGGTCCAAATCCTGGTCCAACTCCACGCCCGACCCAACCTGGTTGCACCCTTAGTGTGACTATTGTGAACGACCTCCGTTTGAGATCGTTTCCCGACCTTTTTTCACCAAGCTTTTTACAAAATCTTATATATAATAATAATCCCAATTAGTACCCAAATTTATAGCCCCTATGGTCCATTATTTAAACTTGTATTTTGAGTTTTTGTACCTAAATCTCTTCGAGCCGTCGTCACAGCAGCTTTTAGCCCAAACCCTCAACGTACATGCCACCATAGCCCGCGAAAAGATATCAATGGAAAGTAATTGAAATACGAGGCCAACCATATATTATACACTAATTTTGGTTGAGTATTTTACCTCCAATTGCCGTTTTTGTGTGGAATGACCCCATGCCGCTCCAAACTCGATATCTCTCTCGTTTTCTGATGACATCCAGAAATTCCAAAGAAGTTTACTCCCTTACACCCTTAGGAACGACTCGTCAAAATTTCAGCCAGAGATTCCAATTTATAAATCATCAAATTTGTCCTTAAATCCTGAAAACGTGATTTGGGAATGATTTTCTCAAATCTCAATCATTTCTAAATCAATTTTCCTCATTTGGCAGAAACTAGTTCCTCTTATCTTTCCTTTTTGCCTTATCTCAAATCAATTAAACACAAAATGTTCCATTTCCTGTTTTATCGATTTTAATTATTGCAATAAAATCATATTTTTCAAGTATCGATACTTTAATCCGATATGTCGTTTACTCTTTAAAATTTTAACCCTCAATATTTATTTATTTTACAAACCATAAAGCTTAGAGTTTTACAGAATCTACCTCTGTAATTAAGTAACTAAATTAGGGTTTTTTTTGTTGTTGATGAAATCTACGGGAGAAATCATGCAACAACAACTACATTTTGTTTTTTACTGCCTGTATCATCTTCAACATCATATGAACAACCAAAATATCAAAACAGTTATAAAAAATCGTTTATTGTTGCTTATTTGTTCTTCATTATGTGTTTTTTGTTTATATTCTGATAAAATCGTAAAATATGACTTCCAACCACTATTTCAAGGTATTCAGATTCATTACGTGTTTATATTTCAACAAAATCGTAAAACACGACTACCAACTACTATTTCAACTACTTCATTTGCATTTGGAATCATCACCGTTAGATGATTCTAAGTGAACATGTTTGTTGTTGATGAGTTAAGGAAGCTTTTATCTGATAAGGAGGCCTATCAACAGTTCTTGCTTTCGATTGACCTTATTAAAACTCCGAATAACGTAAGTTGCAAAACATTCATATTATGTTTTTTTAATATAATTTTGAAGATATCATAAAAATTAAAAAATATATAAAAGTTCTAATTTTTTTGTGTAATTTCTTTAATTCAAATTTTTTATTATAATTTAATTTAGGTTTAACGACGAAATAATTTGTTTTTGATTTAATAATATATTTTTTATAAAAATAATAACTAAGTTTTCTGTTAGAATTCAATAATTATTCTAATTATATTTTAGATATATTAAAATGAGATTTTTATCCTATATTTGATTATATTTATTTACAGTTAGTTATATGAATTTAAATATGGATCTTAATAAGTTGTACTTATGTATAATTTACTTGTAATCTTGAATTTTAAGTGATATACATCATTAAACAGTATTTCATCTATTAAAGATGGTTTTTAAGATTTTTTGTCAAATATTTTATAATATCCTGCTTACAAAATTCTAACACAATTTACTGAAATTGTTAAAGTGTTATCTAAAGTTGTACATATCACGTCATATGATATTTTAACTATTTGAATAACGTAATTTACCATTTTATTTTATTTATTTGAATTAATGTTGATTGAAAAATATTTATAATTAAGATTGTGAAAAAAGGAAAATATTTTAATATTTTTAAAATAAATAAAGAATCGATCGCTGAATGGCGCTCAAGGCAACAAACAAATTTCTCTCTCTTAAACCTAACAGAAAAGCAGTCTTCAGAACCGGAAATTTCTAGGGTTCAATCATCATCCATATCACTCATCCTGTAAATAAAACACTGATTCTAGGGTTTGTAAGCTTCTAAGGAAAGAAATGAACTGTCGCAGAGTAGCAAAGTCCTTACAGCCTTTCTCGGCTCATACTTTACTCCTCTGCTTTACCCTCTTGCTCGTTCTCAAATTGGATCATCTTGTCTCCTATTCTTGGTGGTTAGTTATATTTTGCTTAATTTTCGCCTGTTTTCCATCATCTTCAGTTGTTTATTTTTGATTATGTGATATTGAATGTATTTCCCTCTTTTTAGGTTTGTGTTCATGATTTCTATTTCATGGAGTCAAAATATATCCATTTTGACTTGGATGGCAAACAGATTACCTTTTAATTCCGAAAGTATAAACTCTGAGAAGTTAATCTTAATAAAGCTTGCAATAGAATAGAGTTGGTGTTGAGGTCTGCAACAAAATCCATATGGAATTTGATTTTGCATTTGTGAGGTTCTGGATTTGACATAAAAATCAAAGTACGGTTCTTTTTGTGGAATGAAAGGAGCATATTATAGTATTCTCTTGAAAGATGCTATTTTTTCCTGATGTAAGGTTGATTAGAAACTGGGCACCGATTCTTAGGAGTAATTGCTTTTAATATTAGTTGGAGGAATGGCAGAACTTTTTTTATTCATTTGTTGGATAAAGTGAAAAGGGAGAATGTTATACTGAATTCGCTTCTATTTTCTGAGAGGCATATAATTGCTCCGGAACCACGTCACTTAGGGATCATTTTAGGATTTAGGCTCTTCTAGTACTACCAGACGGTGGTTTACTCTTATATGTGCTAGTTTTCTTATACAGCTGATGGAACTATTTAATCTTGTTTCCTACTCCATTTTTTGTTGTGGTCAACATAACTTGATTACAGCACACATTTTATAGCTTCTCCGCGATTCATTTTCTTGGTGTAATCTTTAATGATCTGCGGCAGTGGATGCTCTTCATAATATGTAAGAACATTTATATAGTTTACGATTATGTGTTATGTAATATAACGTGTTTCCGATCTGGAAGTTTGGAGGTTGGATTATGACTTGTTGAGTGTTCTGTTGGGGCAATTCTTCAACTACGGTGAGTTTGCTCCATTCATAAAGTTAATAGGTTAACACTAAGGAAAAAAACATGTTGGGCTTGAGTTGGAAGCTGCTGTTAGGGGTACGAGGTGAAGTCTTTTGTATGTTTTCTGTAGTGGCAGCAAGCCAGCAAAAATGATTTATCTGTCAATTTTTTCACCATCACTATTAGAAAGCCAAACTCTGCCTTACAGATGTACCTTCTATCACTCATCAATGCCAGAACTGACACAAAAATCTCTCATTTGGTGAAAGGTGCTTTTTCGTTAATTAATAGGGGATATGCTCTCTGCATTACATGAACATAGTAGATATAATCAACAACGAAGTTTTATTCTTGGCAGAATGGGAATCGTTCAATCAGAGCAATGTTGACATGTGATTTACAATTGGATATACATGTGATATATGCTTTTTCTTCATCATACAGGATTGTCTTCTTCCCGCTTTTCCTATTTCATGTAGTTGTTGCCCGAGGAAGATTCTCTTTACCTGCACCATCAGCTCTCCATGACCGTCATGTATGACTTTCTTGTACCTTCTTCTGTGGGGATGATAATTAATAGGTTAGCATGGGTGTATTTAGAAGTTAGACCAATTTTACAATATGCATCATGCAATTCTATTCTCTCTGTAACACCCCCGTCCCGCGTGGTCAAAGACGGGAGATGCCACAATTGGAATAAAACTAACATGCTATATAAAACAGAGCGACTAATAAAATTTACCAAAAGATAATTACATAACCACAAACGGAGATAACGTGTCTCAAAAATACGGTCCCAAAATATCAACATGTCTACATTAGTCATCAAAAGTTTAACAAAAATATGACTTAATGAGTTATCTTCAATATTGTCATCTCCGTA